GGTGAGATATTTATCTAAGATGATTAATAGAAAAATACAACAAGAAAATGAATCATCTACATTAGATATAGAAAAAAAATATGATAGGATGCCTACAGATTTAATATGATTGGTGTCGGAGACAAAAATATGTGACCAAAGGGTATATTGATGCAATAAGAAGCATGTATGACGGAGTTGTGACTACGAGTAGATCACGTGCAGAAGAAACTAGCAAATTTCCAATCACTATAAGGTTGAACTGAAGGGTCAGCTTTGAAGCCTTACCTATTTGCCTTTGTCATTAATAAATTAACTAAACGCAATCAGGATATTGTCCTATGGTGTATATTGTTCACAAATGATATTGTCTTGATGGACGAAAGTAAAGAAGGGATTAACACTAAATTAGAAATCTAGAGAAAAACATTAGAGCCAAAAGGGTTAAAAAGTAGAAATATAAAATTGAATGTGTACAATATAATTTTAGTGATGGTAGAAGTAGAAATAATGAATACGTGAAGATTGAAAACCAAGAGACAATAATACTTAATATTTTCATCACCTAGGTTCAGTTAATAATGAAGATGGCGAAGTTGGAGACGATGTGATCCATGTAATCACCAAACATTGGCTCAAGTGGAGAAGTGTGCCTAGCATATTATGTTATTGACAAATAAACCGACTGCCTAAAAAGAGAGTTATCATAATATTGCCTTGATATAGTTCATCTTTTACTTCTTTCGTAGGCTTGAGAGAAGGGTTTCCAAAGATTTAAATCTTATGAGTAATTGCTTCCTTTGGTAGCTCTGCATTCATATAGATTTAAGTTGGACAACCATTGATAGGGTTAGCACATAGAAGTCTTTGTGAATCTAGAAGGTTGACAGTTTGATCATGATTATGGTGGCACATGCATTGATTGAGCATGTACACTTGGGGGGATCATGTTTGTGTGATTGAAGTTGCTAGCAAAAATTTGAAGGTACAAGTGATTCTTGAAGATTGACTAACATGGATAGCAGATTGGCTATGAGAATTGTTTAGGTGCTAAGTAGGTTCGATTTGTGTGTATACTTCATTCTTTTACTAGTAGAGTTTTCGTCTATGGTTTTTTGCCCAAGCTTGGGGTTTTCCATGTCAACCCTGGTTTCTATATGGTAGGGTTGATTATTATTCCTGTGTTTATTTATCATTCAGAATATCTATCTAATCACCTAAACTAAAAGATTTATGTAAGTTTGATCGAATGAAAAATAACAGAGATTTTTGTGTGCTTTGACTTCAAAGGACTATTTTTCAAACCTTATTTTTCACCTTAGCCAAAGTCACAAGGGGATCTATGTAGTTCACTGATCATAAATATATCATCATCCAAAAGGTTAAAGAGGGTCTAAAGGATGAACACTGCAAAACTCCAAGCATACAACAACTGCAACATCCTCCAGCTTTGGCCCTGTTACATCCCAACCCATCACAAAGGTATGGTGTTGCATTATTGGGATGAATGGAATGGGTTATAAAGATCTTCAATACTAAAAAGAAGTGAGCATCCTATAGGCATTGATAGAACTCATCGTTACTAAAAACATCATCCACCCACTCAAACCATCTCCGTTGTGTCTCGCATGTGTCCTCAGGAAAAAAAAAATATTAAAAAAATGCACAACATGTCACCATTGTGTTCGTGTCCCATGCTGTCTAACATGGCTACTACACCAATTTTGAAGTGTTTTTGTAGGATGAAGCTCTCCACCATCTTCCGAAAGATACTTTTTTCCCCAAAAATAAGAGACCTCAAGCCATTCTGAGGGAGAAGAGAGTCTCTCATCAAGAGTGCCCCTACTCCTAGCATCAACCTCCTCTTAAACTGTATAAAGGCTTCTCGCCATTTGGAAGAAGTAAGAATACGGGAATAAAAGTGGAGCAAAGGAGAAGAGCAGCAATAGAAAAGAGTAAGAGTTTATGGAAGACTACGAGATTATATAAATATAACCCTAAAAGGAAAATCTCGAAACCCAAAGTAGTACCAACATTAACTGAGGACAACGAATGGATAGACCAAGGGGTAAGAAGAGGTGCGTGACAATTGTGACCCACTTGTGCCTATGAGAGGCGAGAGCATGCTCCTCATGCATGTAGGGGCGAAATGTGAGAAGCAGTTTAAAATTTGAAATAACTGCAAAAATGATAAATGGCAGGAAAATAAAAATTTGTAGAACTGAGGGAAACATAGCAAAAAATACCCAGTCAAGAATGATGCAAAAAAAAAATACCCCCAAGACTCAAGAAGGCATGAGCAAAAGGGAATCTTATGCCAGGCCCTTACTTAGTAAGACAACAAGATCATGTTGTCATAAGAGAATGTTACATAGAAAATGTCAATAAGTATTAAGAAGGCCTGATCATGAAAAATCTCATGGAAGGGCCCCTATTTAGTGGGTCAGGGACATTAATGTACAATACTCTCTGGAGTTGTAAAGACTCAAACTTCAGGGAGGCTTATAAGAAAGCCCCATAATTTATCAGCAAGACCTCATGGTTTAGCAAGAAGTGTCAAGGGTAAACCACTTGGTAAAAAGGACAGTCTTGGGCATTACAAACACCTTGGGAGGTGATTTTGATGCAGAATGCATCCTTGAGCTGTGAAATTTATATCCAAACAAAAAAAGGAAGAACGTTTTTGGCACCAAATGAATTAAGGTGACATGTCCCATCGAGGACAATGAAAAGCATCCTCGTGTATTACAATTTGTTTTTGAAAAGAGTCTTAACTCAGAGACGTTTTGATAAGGAACTAAGAGCAAAGGGACAGGTGATTTAATTGTGGTGAAGACATGTAGTCTGTAGACTATGCCATAGTCCATGTTGGGATGTTGGGAATTATTTGGTATGGTGGCTAGAAAAGATAGGAGAGCCAATGGTAAACCTCTCGCCCTCAATACCCTAGGGAATTGCATTACCTTTGTCTCAACCAAGCAATTACAGAAAGGGATATGTCCATGTGGTCCACAGGCCACATGGTATCACCATGTTAATTGCTTGGCCTCCAAGCAAATCTACGGTGCCCATAAATAGGATACTCCTATAGCTTGATAGCAAGAGTGAACATGAGATAAGGCGAAACATTGCCAATTTTCTTCTATCCTGTCTGCCTTGCTTCTCACCCAACAATTAATTCCTCTATCCTAGCTTAATATTTGCAATTTTTACCTCTCCAACACTAAACATTCAATACCCACTCCATTTAAGACCCTCCACAAAAAGTAAAATACATTCGGTATCAATATCAAATGAAATATCAAATTGATGTAAGCCCAATCTAGATCTTCCCCTACACTAGACCACATTTCAATCCCCCGAATCCTTTCATCAATTCCACAAGCAAGAATCTTGTGTAGTAACACACTTTATTTCCTCCAACTCAACATTGACAATGACGGGCATATCAACATTTTACCCTGCTATTATGGCTCCTGCTCCCCTACTCAAGTCCTGCTTATCTCGAGACATCACGAAACTTGGTCCCAACCACCTAAATTAACCCAATTCCCCTATAGTAACACCATGTGCCGCCTCCCCATCATCCATGCTAGAACCCTTCAGAACCATCTCCCCTATTTCCCCATCTTCCAAGCATGAATCTTAATGAAATTCAACCACCCCTTGCTCAGAGAGCTACCACTTCGTCTCCTAAACAACCTCTGAAGTCATGTCCCCATATTTATTATATAAAGTTCATTGTTTGGGATCCTTTCTTTCTGCAAACGAAACAAACAATGAGTGCCACCCCATTAACTAGCTTCACACCTCCTTTCAAAACACCCTCACCACTTTTGTTCTACTCCCTAGAACTAGAAACCAAAAATTCAAACATACCTAGAGTAGACTCAATTTTTTTAAAGTTCCTATCTGATGAAGAAATCTCCCCAAGCATACCTTCAATAGATCTTGGAACATATGGCCTAACCAAGAGTCATATCACAACTAAGCAAATCTGGCTCTCATATAATGGTATCTTGAATTCAAAAACCTAGAGTGGCACAAGAGAGAGCCTTTTAAAGCAAATGGAAGGGTTCCCATTACCATAATTAAAGAAGAAAATGAAATAATGCATAATGCATTGAACTTTACTGCAAGCCTATTAACATAAAATCACTTGTGCCTTGTTCAAACTATCTTCTTTTTCCCTAACATTCTCTGTACTTCCTTTTTTACTTTATTGACTAACTCATAGCACAAGCCACCTAGAGAACCAAACTACTCCCTAGTCAAATACAACCCAACCATCCCCCAAGCATGGGCAATTTGTTAGAATTTACCATAAACCTACCACCACTACCACCTCACCTACTCCACTAAACCTAACCTAACCCACTACACCACTACCACCTCCACTTCACCTACTCCTCACCTACTCCACTAAACCTAACCCACTACACCACTACCACCATCCACTACACCTACATCTATATAAGGAACCATTTGTAATAGACAGAATATAAAACAATATTTATCAATCAATACCAATCAATAATACATATATTTTTACATGGTATCAGAGCAGGTTTAGAACCTAATAGTTTCGCTTCCCTGGCGGGCGGTAATCTCGCCTTGGCCGCCCGCCGGGCCTCAACCTATTCAGCTTATTTTCTACACATACCTTCCTCATCACTATCTGTCTCGGTGGAGCTCATCACAGACTCCACCGGCGAACTCAGATCCGAGTAAGGCCCAAAGGAGCCAAATCCACACGGAAAGTCAAAGGGAAAGGCCTTCTTTCTCAGCAAAACCTTAGGCATCCTCTGTAGCAACCGCTCTGAGATGCTTCAAATCAGTCTTGTTCCCGATGAGCATGATGATGATGTTGACATCTGTGTTTTTTTTTTTTTGAAGTCACCTTTATGAGGTTAAGAAGTAATTTGAAGCAGCTTGCTGATCAGTATGCTCTTTCCGAACAGCAATATGAACAGAAGTTGAAGCCTTCACTTTTAAATACATGACCCAGCTGGCTCTTTTAAAGCCTTCACTTTCAGTTCAGCAGCGATCCACAGAGTGAGGATTATGATATGCAGCTGCTGCTAGATGTGAATACGGAACTGTATCCTATTAATGTTGGGGAGAAGTTTAGGATGGCATTAGCTCCAAGTCTAAATGTCAGTGGAACAGCTGTCAAGGTAATGTAATTACCATTGTAGTCTATAGTAGCCTTTCAATGGAAGATGTTACCAACTTGCACCTTATACCGTTTGTGAAGTTATATTTGTTACTTTTATTTTCAGATTTGACATTGGATTTTGCTTTAATTTCGATTCTCTTTTGAAAATTGAGTTCCAACTCTTGACAGTAGAATGACTTTCCTATAATAGTCAACCATGCTTATTGGATTGAATCAATTGATTCCTAGACTACTTTTCCACTGCTGTTCTTAAATCAATCATCAGATTTTTGTAGAAGTAGCCCACATCCTGATGAGTAGTCCCTCCCTCGTCATATCTTTGTTGTGCAAGGGACTGAGAGATGTCATAGGAGAAATCTTGCTTGGTGACAGATGCTGATTTTAGTGCAGTAATTTTGACCACAAGATTTGATTCTTGCTTGGTGACAGCAGAGTCTCTTCAGATATATTTTTCTTCAGTTGTTATTATTTTTTGGAAATTTAACATTGCATATGTGGTCAAATGATCAAAATATGATATATACTCAGAAACTACACACGCGCACTCACAAAATGATCACAATGATACGTCAGTACTACATTCAAATAAATATGAAATGAGGAACATGCTTCTGTGACGTGTTTAGAGTTTTGTGTCTGTACATGTTTTCTCTTCCTTTTTTGTAATTCTTTCGTATTGAAAGCCTAAGATCATTAATAAATTTACTGTTCTCCAATTTCAGGGTGCGGCAAAATCACTTGCTGACAAATTTGAATATGTTATGCATGGGCTGTTATACAAGATATCTGAGGATGAGTCCTCAGGACCTGATGTTAAAGTGTATGTATATGCAAAAGTTTTAAAACATTTTGTTAATTGTGTTTTGTGAATGTTGGGTCATTTAATACCGTCGTTGCAAATTATTGTATTCCACAAGCAAGAATCTTGTGTAGTAACACACTTTATTTCCTCCAACTCAACATTGACAATGACGGGCATATCAACATTTTACCCTGCTATTATTGCTCCCGCTCCCCTACTCAAGTCCTGCTTATCTTGAGACATCACGAAACTTGGTCCCAACCACCTAAATTAACCCAATTCCCCTATAGTAACACCATGTGCCGCCTCCCCATCATCCATGCTAGAACCCTTCAGAACCATCTCCCCTATTTCCCCATCTTCCAAGCATGAATCTTAATGAAATTCAACCACCCCTTGCTCAGAGAGCTACCACTTCGTCTCCTAAACAACCTCTGAAGTCATGTCCCCATATTTATTATATAAAGTTCATTGTTTGGGATCCTTTCTTTCTGCAAACGAAACAAACAATGAGTGCCACCCCATTAACTAGCTTCACACCTCCTTTCAAAACACCCTCACCACTTTTGTTCTACTCCCTAGAACTAGAAACCAAAAATTCAAACATACCTAGAGTAGACTCACCTTTTTTAAAGTTCCTATCCGATGAAGAAATCTCCCCAAGCATACCTTCAATAGATCTTCGAACATATGGCCTAACCAAGAGTCATATCACAACTAAGCAAATCTGGCTCTCAGATAATGGTATCTTGAATTCAAAAACCTAGAGTGGCACAAGAGAGAGCCTTTTAAAGCAAATGGAAGGGTTCCCATCACCATAATTAAAGAAGAAAATGAAATAATGCATAATGCATTGAACTTTACTGCAAGCCTATTAACATAAAATCACTTGTGCCTTGTCCAAACTATCTTCTTTGTCCCTAACATTCTCTGTACTTCCTTTTTTACTTTATTGACTAACTCATAGCACAAGCCACCTAGAGAACCAAACTACTCCCTAATCAAATACAACCCAACCATCCCCCAAGCATGGGCAATTAATAGGAGAAGTCCGTAGAGATGGCCCCAGGAAGGACAATTCAAAGTCAGAATCTCCATTTCCTACAGCAGGGCTTTGACTCCCCCCACCTATGTGTGGATCTTTCACCCTTTATTCGTTTGGGGGTCTTTCTTGTGTGATTGTTGGGTTTGTAGTATGCTTATAGTAATATGATGTTAAGACTTTCTTACATAGTATAATGTCCAGTCTAATGTAAGTCTCATGATATTTGTAAATTATTTCCCCACCATTTGACCCAAAAAAGAGAATCAAGTTGGTTTACCACCTAAAAAGATTCAAAACTCCATCGTCAGAGTCTTTCAATGTGTCAATACAACTAGCTTGTTAATTATTTATTTTTTCATACTATATCTCCAAGACCTAGTGAAGTCAACAAATAACTAACAGAAGTCTTTCTCTGTATTCTACCTTTCCATGGTTTATTAATCAAGAGATGAATTCCTAGGTAGTTTTCATATACCTTATTGCCCAATATTTTTGTTCTACGTCGTAATCTTGCTCCAATACTCTCCCAAATGTACATGGTATGAAATATGCAGCGTTCCTTCATAAAGATTTAGAGAATCCTTGAGGTCACAGTCATTTATAACCATTCCACCCATCATTGTTCATTGTAGTTAATGTACATCTCTACAAAAACTCACATTTATAAAGCGTAACAGTGCCTATAATAACATTTTTGCAATTAAATATCACTAATGTTTACAAAATAATAGATCATAAGATACCACAAAATGATTAATTAACTCAGATTTTATTGCTTTTGATCAATAGTGTAATGTTGTTTGACAACTGTACAACAATGTACTTGCCCCACGAAAATATATTTACCTACAGGTGGGAATTTTCAATAAAACCCGGACCAAACAAGAAATTTGTGAGCTAGGTTTGGCTAGTTCTCAACATGAACCTAAAAGTGACATGACACAATAACAAAATAAACAGGTCGAGTTAATATCAAACCGTATAACCCAAATTTTACACGGATAACCCATTTAATAGAGTACTAGTTACAAACATTTTAATGTATTTCCATTAAGGGGCAATGACATGTTCGAATTTCTCATGTAACCCCATCCAGCTAAATAACACAAAATAAGTAAAATACAAATTTCTTGTCAATATAATATTATGGAGTCAATCTAGTAAACAAAATAATAATAGAGTTTAGTTGTTTGAAATTGAAAAAATGGAATTGAGTTGAAATTAAACATTTTTATGAATAATTTCATCTAATAGAATTAGTTTCATGAAATTTTAACCGGGGGGGGGGGGGGGTGTGACCTTTAATGTCTCATACACTATGTATTTTTATGTAAGAGTGGAAATTTTTTACACGACATGTTACCACGATACAAACCGGACACAAAACCAACATGATAACACAAAAAAACAAATGGTATGATTAGTGATGATAGGATTTTGACACAAACCCGAGATGACATGATGCAAACACAACCAATACGATACAATTCCAACCCCTATATTTACCCATTGTGCAAAGTTCATTCAAGATGACCTGATGCAAACATGACCAACATGACACAATTCCCACCCCTATATTTACCCATTGTGCAAAGTTCATCGTGTATCAAGAAAGGATAAAAGATCTAATCTTCAATGGTGAACTTGTTCTTAGAAATTCAAATCATTTGTTTCATTTTCTCTCACCATGCACGCAAACATAATCGCATAGTAATGCTACTATGTAAATGATCTTTAACAACTATTCAAGGTTTTGCTGTCCAACGAATTCGTTCTTATTACAGAGTCTGGTCCCAAAAGCGAGATAGCTTCCACACGAAACACTCAAAAGAGAATATCATAGCTCATAGTTTGTTTTTTTCTTTTTTATGGACAAGTAATATCACAGTTTTACAAAATTGAGATAGACAGGTTCACTTTACCTGCGCCACTTTCCGCAAATGGTTCCATCAACACCTTCTCCTATTCCTTCTATGACTTCTCGGCATTGAAGCCAATTACCAATAGAGTTGAGTCTACAAGGCTTGCTGGAATTTCAATCCTACAGGTAATAAAATAGTCATTTTTCTTTACAACTGAAATACTTCTGCCAACCGAAACAGTAAAAAATAGTATACAAATAGAAGCCTCACATGCAAGCTAACACACTCTGAAGAATCGATTTCTGATGGTTCACCAATAGTATCAACCTCACTGCACCAAATTAAAGAACCAACAGCAAGTTAAAGGGGTGAAACACAACATATAGGATCTCAATAACAAGACAAGTGGCTAGAATTGTGGTTCAACGATCCATCAACGAAGCATGATACACAAAAAGTATTGGAGACAGAATCTCCATCTATTATTTTCTATAGTACTGCTACGTCATAGAAAAATTAACCAAAACCTAACTTCAATCAGACAGACATAAGTTTCTCTACAAACATGTGACTTTTCGATAGTAGAACAAGATGTAGACACAAATTTAAAAGCAAAGCAATGTGTAAATCACGATCTGTCTGTGTTCTACAAAAGTTAGTTCCTCTCTTAGAGCATATATGCATTAGCATACTATGACCGTATCGTCAAGGGGCTTCTGGCACAAATCAACGTTCCAGCCAATCAAGGGTCATCTCTTCAGCAATATCATAATATTTTAAATGTTCGCAGGAGATTCATCTCCTTTCAACTTTCAAGCTTACCCCATTCAGCCCTCCACATTATACATTGCCAGTCTGCCCAACACTGTGATTTAAAAGTTCGGGTGTTATAATAAAAGCACATATAGATCAGTTTTCAAGTCATCCTATCTTGAACATGGCTGAAATGAAAAAATTAGAATTAACGGATGGCAAGACAAGACAGAAAATTTAAAGGAACAACAGCACAATGTGGAAGAGGTGGTCCAGAACACAGTACTTAAATAGCAAACGAACTACAAAATCATGAAGAATGTATATGAAAACAAACAATTTTAGCAAAAGATACGGAACCAGATAGAGCAGATGATACCAAAACATTAAAGAAGACTTCAAGAAAATTCATGAGAGACATGTAGTCAACAAAACATCATAAATAACAACTTGATTGGTTTCTGCATGAAAATTATCACTGTATATGTCCTACTTCCCAAACCCAAGTAGAAAGGAAACATACCACTCTTTTATTTATTTATTTATTTTCCTTTTCCACAAGCCTCAAATCCCTCTCTATAAAGGAGATTCATTTCAGCTAGAATAAAATTTTCTAAATCCACTTGTTAATTTTACACTAGATGTTAGCCTATCTGTGTATGTAAGTGGTATGCACGTACATATGTCCAACAAACTTCTTGGAAAACCAAGGATATCAAGCATGACGACACGCTAAGAAGCACGGACACGGACACGGATGCAGATGCGGACATAGGACACGGCAATTTCAAAAAAATGGAGATATGGGCACGGCAAGGACACAGCAATAAAATATGTTTTCATATTCTTTTATTTGCTATCTAGATTTATATTACATCCACAAATAATCAATATTAACAAAAACTAACTCTAATTCTTTTTTTTTAAATAAAAAAGAACTTTTAAATTAACACTTACAGTTTATATCTTTTTTTATACATGATCTATCAACTATTTAAATCTAAGAAAAAAATAATAAACATTCAACATTCAGGGTTTGTTTGGGATGATCTAAATAAGTGCACTTTTTGACTTTTTATGAAACATGAGTTGAGTTTGCGTTGGGTTTGAAGTAATGTGTTAGAGAGGTGATGTGACTTAAATAGAATAGTGACTTTTTGACTTTTTGGCTTTTTGACTTTTTGGCTTTTTTCTAACATGCCAAACTAGCCTTAAATAAAATGGGAGAAAAGACAACTTGACATGTCCTTAGTGTGTCCCAGCTTGCCCCATACGTGTCCCCAAAGTGTCCATGTATCCAACACGGAACAACACTTGTTTTGAAGTGTTTGTGCTTCAAATAAGTATGAAAAGTCATAAGTTTCTGTGAGAGCCGAATAATTGGAATAATCAGAAGCATACTCTAGGAGACATATATTACACGGCTCGCATGATAAGGATGCCGAATAGGATAGATGGGCCAAGCAGATACTGAACCATGGAGCCGAGTAAATAAGAGGACGACGAGAGACAAGTGGACCTAGCCATGAGGCCCAGGACACAAGTATAAATAAAGGAACAACAGACTGAGAAAGGTAGGTAAGAATTGTAGTGCTTAACTTAGAATAAAAGTATTCCTGAGTGTGGTTACTGACTTGTCCGTCGGAGTGCTAACTCTGGCACCCCCGTCGGAGTGTATATTTCTTTTCAGGTGACCGGAAGAGGATCACGAGCGTTCCCCAGGATCAGAAGAGTATTTCCAAACCACTTCTCCACAATTGGCGCCGTCTGTGGGAATACTCAAGCACATCCATGGAGAGCGTGACAGAAGATCCTCCGACAGTTACTATCGACCCTATACCCTAAGAGGAAACCACTCCAACAGACTTGCTTGGAACAGAGACCATCGCCGCAAGACGTGCCTTGAATTTCGCCTCACCCTCGACTTCGGAGCACAAGACAATACAAGCGATCATGGAACAAGCAAAGCAAAATGAACAGAAGTTAAAAAACATGATCACTGAGAACGAACGTCTTCGTGAAGATTTGGCCTTGGAAATGGCGAAGTCCAAGCAAGCTGCGCGCCCAAATCCAAAACAACCTCCGAAGGCAGGTGGTCGGCAACCTTGAGCACGACAAGACACTGATAGCGACTCCGACTCATTATCCCCAGAGCCTAGGAAGAAAGGATGACACGAAACCACCAGTTCTTCCGAAGAAAGTCCTCGTGCAATGCACAAGCGAAGAAAGAACAGTTCGGACGAAGACCAACACGATCCCTTCGTACGACGGATTGCAAAGGCTGCGCTACCCAAGAAATTCAAAGCACCGTCGTTCAACTTGTACGACGGCAAATCAGACCCCACCGGCCACAGCCACCACTGCAAGCAGGCCATGACATTGCATGCAGACGACGAGGCCCTCATGTGCCGAATATTTCCCAGCAGTTTAGGATCACTGGCGGTCAGGTGGTATTATAAACTGGAGCCGGCTTCGATCAAAACCTTCCACCAACTACAAAAATCCTTCAGGGCCAGATTCATCACCAACGAAGTCCAACCGAAGCAAGCTGACTCTTTCTGGGCAATGCAGATCCTGCCAGGAGAAATACTAAGAGCATATTCGGCGCGATATTGAGAATGCTTTGATCTTGTTGACGATGCTTGTAACGACTCCATGGCCATCACCGACTTCAAAATGGGATTACACCCAGATAGTGCCCTCCGCAGTTCCTTGACTAGAAGACCCCCCAAAACAGTCTGGGGGTTGATGAAGAAAGTAGAGGAATACTGCAAAGTGGAAGATGACGCCTTGCGGGTTAAAGCTGGACAAGTGGCCAACAAAACGGCCCCTCCTGAAATTGCTCAGCCAATAAGTTCCACACCACCTCAGAGCCCTAAACCACGACAGTGGGCTAAACGAGACAGGATACGGGACTCTCGCTGATCCAACGATCAATGCTCGCACCAGGCAAATGAGCAATTGCAAGTCGATAGCAGGCGCACAAAGCGCGCCGACAAGAAATATACGAAGATGTCAGAGCCAATCAGCTCGATTATGACCAAAATCCAACATCTTCCGTTCTTCAAATGGCCATCCAAGATGGTGGGAGCTCCTGACATGAGAAGGCGGGACAGGCGTTGTGAATATCACAAAGATCATGGTCATGATACGAACAGTTGCTATGCCTTGAAAGACCACCTCGAGGAATTTGTGCAAGATGGTCGGCTCCAGCAACACGTCCGGAAGAGCACAATCAAAACTGTTGCCCTTCGGCAGGAGTCACCTCCCCTCGGTGTTATACATATGATATACAGCCTTCCAACGCCATGTACCATACACTCAATTCATTCAGCCCCCCAGAAGCAACGCTCACAAGCGAAACAGCCCCACGAAGCTCCGAGCGTCATCTTCGACGATTCCGATCTTATCGACATAACGCTCCCCCATATTGATCCATTGGTCATTGAACTACACGTGAATCGATTTACCGTCGAATGCGTCCTCATAGACCAGGGAAGCACTTCGGAGGTCATGTACTATGAGACCTTCCTCAAACTCGGCTTCAACGAATCGGACCTGTCCCCGGCTCCTCATCCATTATTCGGCTTCAACGCAAATCCAGAGTACCCGTTGGGAAAAATCACATTACCCGTTCGAGCGGACTCCCAAACAGTGGATGTGGAATTCATGGTCGTTAAGCTTCCTTCGCCATATAACCTCATCATGGAGCGAACTTGGCTGCATACTATTCGGGCCGTGCCGAGCACCTATCATCAGCTGCTACGATTCCCGACCGAACACGGAGTTGAGCAAATCCGTGGTTCTCGGCAATCCGCACAAGCATGCTATCTCCTTTCTGGAGAGACACTAACGAAGACACAGGTCAACTCCACTGAAGTGTCGAATCGAGAGTCTCGTTGATGTCGGACGGCTCCCTGACGACAAGCCACGGAAGCTCTAGACGATACCGGATGATAGGGGGCCAGTTGATGGAAAGTTAGGCCCGCGGCCTTGCTCTTAACGCATTTGCGCAAATTCTATCATTAAGCCCGACTTGTGCGGAATGATACTGGTTCTGAATGGCTCACCATGTACACTTTTCACTTTTGTAAGTAATGCAAAGATTCGTGTTTACTCACCGTGAAATCCAGCTCAAAAGTATTCCAAATAAAATCTCCGGATTCGGAACGCCCTTCGTGGATATCACGATTGGCCGATAAAGTCTCCGGATTCGGAGCGCCCTTCGTGGATATCATGATTGGCCGATAAAGCCTCCAGATTCGGAGCGCCCTTCGTGGATATCACGATTGGCCGATAAAGTCTCCGGATTCAGAGTGCCCTTCATGGATGTCACGATTGGCCCAAGTCTCCAGATTTGGAGCCCCATCGGAGCATGACGTCTTTGGGCCGATAATGTCGCTGGATTCGGAGCCCTTCGTGGATATCACGATTGGCCGATAAAGTCTCCGGATTCGGAGCGCCCTTCGTGGATATCACGATTGGCCGATAATGCCTCCGGATTCGGAGCGCCCTTCGTGAATATCACGATTGGCCGATAAAGTCTCTGGATTCGGAGCGCCCTTCGTGGATGTCACG